CAATGTAGCGGTTGAAACCTTTGTCGGCGAGGTGACACTCGTAAACTGCGAAAAGTCTAATGCACTTTTTTAAAAATTTTAAAAATTCTATATTATGCCATCTGTTACAATTATTGAAAAACAAGCTTAAGTGATAAACTATAACAAAACTGATAGAAGGGACAGAAGGAAGAGGCATCCCATTGCAGTTACTTCAACTTGAATATAAATGTAAGGTTCTAATCCTAGAAATAATGATAATGGTACAGCAATAAATACTAATGTGCTTTTAAAATAATAAAAAAACTTTTTTTTAAATATACGAATATTTTGTTTTTGATTGTGCTATGTTTCTTTCCTTCAATAAACCAATCTTAAAAATTCCATTCATATTTTCTATACAAAAAAATTCAATGTTTCAAATCTACCAGGTATCCRTGATGGCTTATTTTTTAATTAAAATTTTTTTGTTATTCATAACTTCGATTTATTCACAAAGACAAGCTATAAGTACTTCAAAATTCAGGAAAATGCAAAACCATTTCCTGCTTGAATATGATTGATTGAATAACGACCATAAGAAATAAAGTTGACTTTGTTGCAATTTCCAACACAATCAATTTTTATTTCGGTAATTAACACTAAGAACTTATTATTTWAGGTTGGTGAATATTACAATTGTTGTCGGTTATCAATAGTAATAATTATTTAAAGTGGCTAAGTAATTACAGAAACAAAATAAAAGTTTGTATTTTTTAGATAACGCCTATACGTACATATTTATTTTGCTTAAAATGTAAATTAATGTACTGATATATTTTTTGTGGAAAAATCCATTAGATTTATACCGAATGACTCATAATGATAATAATAATGACATTATCGTCAAAATAATAGGGAGGGTTGAAGACGGTAAAATGATGACTATGTGTGCTTAAGTGCAGGGGAAGAAAAAGATAAGTTCTTGATTAATGACATCATCATGAAACTTACATTTTTTTTGTTATAAAACCATCGTTATTTACATTAATTAATAGTATTTAAAAATATTTATATAACAAAAGAAGATTTTGAAAATAGTTTTTTTTTTTATATCATTAGTGTGGTATTTTTAAATCAGCCATAGAAAAAAAATGTGATGGTCGAAAATGATGATATTTAACATTTTCGCATACAATTAAATTCACCGTCATAGTATCATAGTACATGCTTATAAAAATATAAAACATATTCATTTTAAGTAGGTAGGCCTTAAAAAAAAACCACTTCAATATTGTTAAAAACGGGAATTATTATATTATTAATATAGTAGGTACCGTAGTTACGCATAAATTACTTATATTGCAATTTATTACTTAATACCTTGAATATTAATATAAAAATTATATTTAAATTGGTATATTTTATTTTTTATGATTTATAAATATAAGTAACAAATAAACTTTTTTGATCGAAAAATAAAATAATAAAATTTGTGATTTTAGGTAGGTACATTTCATATTATTCTACGAATATATTTACCTATATGTAGCTATATAGKTATTTTATGAACGCGCTGATATTTAATAAATATATACTAGCAATTGTTTTTGTTGGTTGGTAAAATAATTATCGTGATGTTATTTTTATGATAATATAGAATTCGACGCACTACCACTAACTCTGCATGGAATAAAAAACTTTCAACATTTACAACCGACAGAACTATCACAATATTGATTCGGTGACGTTGATCCGATGATTGGCATTATTGTATAGAAACTGTAACACACGATCGTTCACGGGCATTTTTAATTTTATAACAATCGTACACCTTCTCCCCGTCCAAAATTACATTGAAACTGCAGAACGAACGATTGACAAAGAGTGTTTGTACTGTTAATATTAAACGAGTAAACTAATAGCCTCAGGGAAATATCATTCGATTTTTATACTACGTTTTAATATATTATATTGTACCCGGTACGACGCTCGTCCGCTGATATAGACGATATAGTCCCCTTATTGGTACAGCTATAGTGATAAAAAGTTAGGTAGTTATAGGAGTTTCTAATTTCCGTTATGATGTTTTGTTTGGAGTAGGTAGGTGTTATTTACGATAACAGCCGGGGTAAAGTTTCGTTTTCGTAAACATATTAAACAATTTATATTGTTTTATTATACCGTAGCGATACAATATAAACTCTACAGTGTGACGAGTACACCTACAGGCTATAAGTGAAATTATGTCCAGTGCCATATTACAGGTAATAAGCCCCTCAAGAGTGAGCCATGACTTGTAGTTATAAAGTATAAACGTATCTGCATGACTGCAGAAATTAAACGATAAAAAATATAATGGTTTTGTTAAATGACTAAAAACTTGTGTAAAAAGTATATTTCCAAAACCTTAAATACACTSTGAGCGATTACCTAAAATAATTATCTTGTATTATGATAATAATATACATAATATACGATATGACTAACAGTACGAGCTTGATGTTATATAGCTGCGGATTATACGTGATCATAATATCTTAAATAAGTACAATATTGTATCCTTCGCGCGGATCAAGGCGGTAGACGGACAAAAACTGATTGCAGATTTAACTTCGTGCTAAACCTTTTTTTCATTTGCGTATTATGCCAATAAAATTAAATAGTATTATAATATAGGTACACGCGTAGGTAATAACTATACAACATTACATCTATATTTACAGGCGTGCATCGGTGCAACAGCAGGAGTTGTTGGCGTTCAGTGCCGTCCGTCGTCTACTGTCTTCGCAGTGGGTTTTTATCACCGGAAGGGGTAGTATATATTATAATATAATATGATATATATAGAATAACGTTCGAGTCTCGAGTGGTATGGGGTGGGGGCGACTACGGTAGTGCATCGTCGTTTTGAAATATAATATCTGCCGTGACAAGGTGGTGTATAAATGTATGTGTATAGTGCGAGCAGAGAGAGAGGAAAACGGTCGGTGTGATGGYGGGAGCGGGCGGACGGACGTATATACGGATGGACGAAGCGGTGATGGAATGCCCGCGCGGCGGAATAAAAGGAATCGTTTACACAGGGCTTACCGAATCTGGGGATGAAATTTAATTAATCCRCTGGCAGTGTACGTGCATGAGTGTGTGTATGACGAGCACTGCATAGTAGCATGACCGGCCACCCCCGCGMGTACATCCGGGGTATGTGTGTGTGTGTGTGTATTAATTAATTGGAGTGAAAGGGAATAAAGAGCCGCCGCCTCCGTCGTGACAATGCCGGGCAATGCGAATATTACAATATTGTAGCGCAACTACCCCTTTGGCGTAACGGGGTGGAATATCGTTGCGGGAAATGTATATAAGTATATGAGTTATTGTTTTCTAATAATTGCCACTGCCGCAGTTATACGCGATTGTTGTACGCGCGTTCACATATTGGACGTAAAGTATAATAATATATATATATATATATTGTACATTATGCGTATGTGTCACATGTCAATTAGTCCCGCACATGTTGCCATATATATTCTATACACCGTCAATGTAATAATTTGTGTACATGTGCCGCGTTCATATCATAGAGGACGTTATTTAATTGCTAACTCCGATAACTATATGTCCATATTATTATATTATTATACTAGTCAAGCGTAATACCTATAAAATATAAATATATATTATTATGTAATAAAACGTATTATAAGTTTAAAGTTGCACTATTTTTTTTATTTTTTGTTAAAATGTGTTAATATTTT